ACGCACACGCACACACATACGTAAGCAAAGTGAACTTAACGCTTGACTGATTTCTTTGGCCTCAAACAAAATTGGCACGCGCTGCTCAGCCTTTCGTGGTGGTAGCTACACACACACACACACACACACACACACACACACACACACACACACACACACACAAATACATAGAAAATAAAAATGATTTCCAGCAACATGTTTCTGTGGTGCTGGTACTGCTGCTGGTTGCTGCTGCTGCGACGGCTTCTTTATAGATATCCATCTAATGTTTATATGTGGCTACGTGCCATAGCTTGATGTCTGGCCCCTCGGAGCACCCCAAACTGCTGTAGCCAGCTTGTCAGTGTTTGTGTTTGGGCTCAAGTTTTGTTACGTGCCTGGCTTAATTTTGAGCCAACACGCCAGCCAACTGGTAACTGGTAGCTGGTAGCTGGTAACTGGCAACTGGCAGCCGCAACTCATTGGGTTCCGATTACATGGCGTATACGTAATATAGCCAAAGTTTTCTTCCTGCTGCACATCAAGTTGGCTCCCTTTACCAATTTACTTGGCTGCAACAAGTTGTGAGCCATGGCCAAAGCTGTTTGAGCTGCACACACGAACGCACACACATACATAGGCACATAGGCACACAGGCACACACAAAAACAAACACAGTGTGGCTAAGTAACCAACTTTAAGCTCAAGTTACGCTTCTGCTTGGTTGCTCATACGCAACGTTAGACCAGGTTTCATAATTTCACTATAGGCGCCAAGCATTTCAATGCCACAATGCTTGCATTGTAAGCGTTTTCACTTATCATCGATATCCAAGAATTTCCATACGTGTGTAAGTTGCTCTCGAACTTTGCATGTGTGTGTGTGTGTGTGTGGGCGCTATGCCAAAAATGCAAACTTTGCTGTACGTGGATTTTCGCAACAAAAACAATCCTTTGTTTCTCACTCTATTCTAGTTGGTGCATTTTGAGACTTTCATTGGGAAAATGCATTTAGCAATCGGCATTCGACATTTGGCATTTCGCTTTGCACATTTCACATTTCACATTTCACATTGTGCCTGGCCGATTGGTCTCCAATTTTCCACACACACACACACATAATGCCATTGCAATAAGGCCACGGCTGACTGGCACTCGCAATATTATTGCCATAGTTTTAAGCGCCTTATGGCCCCAAATGCTTTAATGTATTTTGCGTGTTTTGGCCTATGCCATTAGCCATTATCAAAACTAAATATGATTTATATAGGCTTGTGCTTTGTGTGCCCAAAATCTGCCTGAAACTGGCTTCAATTATAGTTTTGGTCGTAGAACAGTTGTGAAGAGTTTCCGGATGCCTCTGGCTTTAGCATTTTTCAAACACTGATTTTTAAAGTGGAAAATTGTCTGAAAATTATTCTAATTGCTATCTAGAAAATAAACTCATAAATAAACAGCATGTGATACAATTTTAGACTTGTACGTTTAAAGTCTCTAGCTCTCTAACAAAATTTAATCGACAGCTAAAAAAGCATTTAGCTTCAATTTATGTTGCTTAATTTATTGCTTGTTGCTAGTCCAGAAAAAAAAGCAATTTGAGTGCCAGAGTGCCCCTAATGTGCAATTCTTATGCACTGTCATCTAACTACAAATTGTGTTTTCTACTATAAGGAAGCATGAAAAGATTTTGCTTTCCTTTTCTTGTAGACTTTCAGTATTAAAAGTCTCTTAATCGATCTCGATTGACAACATTTAAATTTAAAAAATATTATTGATTAACATATATATATATATTTTTAATATTAATATTAATAATATTATATATTAATATATATATATTTTTTTAAATTTTTAATATAACTAAATATTCAAACCTTATTAATATTAACAATATTATTATATATATATATATTAATATTAATATATATATATATATATTTTTTTTTTTTTAAATTATTGATTTAACTAAATATTCAAATCTTAAGCATTTTAATTCAACTAAACATTCGAAACAAATAACAGCAGCATTTCCTTTCATTGATTTTATAAAGAGATATCTATTTAATATTTTTATATATTTAAATATTCCAACATACAATTCCTCGTCATTTTCTAAGATTTACTTTCTGTTTAAGGTTTCCATTTAAATGCAGCGCACAACTTATTTTTTTCTCTCTCATTTTTTTCGCTTTTTGCCCTTCTCTTTCACACACCCGCTTTCAAGTTTTCATTATTTTGCTGCCAGCATCAATTTGGTCAGACCCAGCAGCCACAATATCCAGCGCATAAAACGCGCATTAGCAAACTATTAGTCAAATCCCCAAGGTGCCATTTACCATGTCCAGAGCACTCGATCTCTCTATTTGCCTCTCCCTCCCATGTTCTCTCTCTCTCTCTCTCCTGCTCGCTTCGTCTCTCACGATTGCAGCTTGTGCCATTTGCAATGTAATTTGTGACGCCTAATAAAATGCCAAAATACTCAGTAAAAATAAATAAATAACAAAAAAAAAAAATGTGCATAAATTATAAGACAGCAGCAGTCGCAGTCGTAGTCGCAAAAGTGTGAAAAATTACGCATACGCCCCCTTGGAGCAGTGCGCCAAATGCGGAGTACCACAAAGTACCAAAGCGACCGCAAAAACCACAAACCAACAACAACAAAAGCAAGAGCAAAAACAAAGAGAAAGTAACCAAAAAGAAAAACAACAACTGCGCGCTGAACATTTTCTCCCACACACACAGAGAACGACGGAGGACAGCGAATAATTTAATTTACTTTTAATTTTCGCTTACAAACTTTTAGGCGCAGTTGCTTAATCTTATTCTTGCTCTGTGCAACCGATTCTATTAGAGTGCGGCTGTGTGTGTGTGTGTTTGTGTGTTTGGGCCAGCTGATGCGCATTTAATTGTGCGCTATTTCTTTGGACTAGCAAATTAAGAAAAATGCGTTTTAATTCCATTCAGGTTTGAGTGCGATTGCGAGAATGAGATGAAAGAAAGGGCGAAAGGGAAAGCACAAAAAGAGAACGAGGAAGAGTGCGGCTTAGGCCAGGCAGGTCAACATCAAAGAAAGATTTGATAAGGTATATCCGTTTCCGCGAAAGGTGCAGAATTTTTGTTTATACATTTTATTATATTTAACCGGCTTTGCTCTGTGATAAGATAAAACAGGTTTAGGTTTGAACTCTGTTTTGCTAGAAAAAATTAAAGCAAAGAAATACATTATCAGATAGGCTTTGCTTTACATGCTTTTGTTATAGAGGCAGAAATAGATAAGGTTTATTGAAAAGATTTATTTCAGAGCTCTGTTTACGATTTGAATAGTCAAAAAAAAAAAAAAAGGGAAAAAGGGGTTTGAAATATTTATTTATTTATTAAAAAAAAAAAAAAAGGTTGCGTATTTTGCATATTTTAAATCGGAGATTCAACAAATTAAAAAAAGTTTTGCTTAATTAAAAAAATTTCTTAAAATATATTTTGCTCAAAATTCGAATGTTGAATTTATCTGAATTGAAAACAAAATTTGTAAAAATAATTGTTGAATTATGGTTTTTATTTTTATTTTTTTAAATTAAGCGAAATCCCAATTATTGTTTATAAATATTCAAAAAATTGTGATATAAATAAAAATAAATTTGTTAAAATATTCATTAAATTTTTTTTCAGTTAGTCATTTTTTTGTATAAATGGAATTATTATATTTGAATTTGGTAAAAAATTTTTGTTTATTAGGTAATGTTTTTTTTTTTTTTGTAGTAATAAAATCATTATTTTTAAATTTGGTAAAAATGTGCAAATATTCGAATTAAGTCATTAAACACAATTTACATAAGATCGAAAGCCCTAAGTAAAATAAGGTTAGAGTACCTTAATTTCCTTATCCGCGCGGAAAATGGTTTCGCATTATTCTAGCTGTGTTTTTTTTTTCCATAAGTTGTGACTGTTTTCTGCGGCTCAGTTCAGTTGAGTTGAGCCGAAATGAGTTCAGCTCAGTTGAGGAGTTTGCTTGGATTTAGTTTTATATTCAGCTCTTTGGCTCTCTCGTGGCGTTTGTGTGCTTAGGGCCAGTTCGCCCACTGTTTGTGTTGTGTGTTGAAAACAATTTTGAGAGGCAGCCGACTGGTGCTTTGTTTCTGGCTTTGATTGAAATTAAGCGCATTTGAAGAGGTGGCCCACAAATTGTGGCCATAGTTCAAGTGGCATTGTTTTCATACAAAATCTACCCAACATAATATATATGTATACATTTGTGTGTATATAAATTGTGATAAATTGTTTTGGTAATTTGACAAGCATTTGTGAGGAGGCTACTGGGCCTTCAATAAATATGAGGATATTGTTATAATTAATGTGAGTGCTTTGCCAAGTGGACAACATTTGCTTTCATTATGCTTATTTCCTTCATTAATTGTTTCCACTGCGATACTCTTCACATAATCGTTGCCAACATGTTGCTGCGCTAATTCGAACGACAATAAAACCAGCCACAATGGAGTATATACATATACATTCAATGTATATATACATACATATATGATATATTAAAGTTTTAAAGTTTCAACTAAACGTCATCGAAATGTCACATTCTCTACTCTGGCATTCTGCAAAATTTCCGTTGCCTGTTTAATGCGTTATCAACGTCCACCAAATATAGCCATGAGAGTAGACAATAGGCTCTAACAACTGAGCTCTGGTGTCAGCTGTGAACTGCTCACTGAATAGCGAATAATTAAATGCAAATTAACAATGGTCAATGGACTTTTTGGTTGGCGAGCGCGCTCTCAGTGGGACGGGCGCTGTTGTTGCTGTTGCACTCGACTAAATCGCATGGTGCAAAATTTGCATGCACTGATGGACCAGTTCGCTAATGGAGAGTCCAGATATGTATTACGATTATGCCATACCAAATGGACATTGGGCTGTTGCAGCTGGAGCTGCAGATAGACAGAGCATTCGTCCTTAACCTGAGCTGGATTCAGTTGGCATTGTGTTGTTCCACACACTCACACTCACACACACACACAGTCACACATACACACTTGCATGTATGCACACAGAGCCGCCCAATCTGGCATTCTTATTAGTTTATGCCACTCAGCCAGTGAAGAGTATGACGTACAAGCGCATATGTTGCTATGCGAATAGGCAAATGCAAAACTATGCGAACTTTCGAACAATGCAAGGCTCAAAAGCGTATCAGAAGCGAAAAGGTGAGAGACGTGGCACAATAGAATGGTTTCCAGCCCAGAGACGAGGCAACATAGCCATATAAGTCGGAAACATGCTTCTTGAGTGGAATAAAACTCGAAAGATTGTTAAGCATGCGTTAAGCTAAGCAAATTAGATGAGTTCTAAGAATCTTTAACAATTGTTAACGGGATATGAATGTGTGTTAAATGAATTTACGAAAGTAAATACAAAATTGTACCTTTAATTTAATTTAAAAAATTATAATGTAAAAATCATACATTAAATTGTTTCTTGTACATTAATTAAATTTTATATATATAAAATAACAACATATGGACAATTTTAAATAAATTCAATATAAAATGTCCGTTAAAAAAAAAAATTAATAAATAAATTAGTATACAAAAAGTCTTACGGTAAATAAATATTAAATAAAATTCTATGAAAAACATATATTCATTATAATTAGAAATATAAGATATTTACAAATAAAAATAAATATATAAAAAAATATGTATTTTTCAAAACTAGCGATTTCGAATCAATTATTCATAGTTTTTATATCAATCACGCTGTTTTTTTTATCGCTTGCAACCTACTTCTGTTGATCCAAAACTTTTTAGCCAGATTAGCTTGTTCTATTTGCCTAAAAGCTCTAGCCAAACATATGTACTATACCATAAACTAAGTAAACACTCACCAGCTTCAATCAATTCGATCATAAAACATGCCCCCACAAGCGAAACGAGTTTGCCGTCGCATTGGCCAACGGGTATAAACACGTTGGCCAGCATTTGAGGTTGAAATGCAATCTAAAGCAAAGCACAAACTTTAAAACTGTTGACCCGCTCGTCGCCGTTCGTCGGCCACAAAGTGGATGAAATGCAGTGGGGTGGGAGGTGCGAGGTAGGGGGCGCTAGCGTTTGTGTTTGTGTAAATTGCAGTATTCGATGGCCAATACGAACGACCAAAAACTGCAAAAGTACAAAACCAACGGATTGGAAAAGTGCGCCTGACACAAACACACACACACATACAGACACACATACACATGAGCACACTTACACACACGAGCACACACAGACAGTGACTAATACACAGCTGTCTGCACACATACACACAATGCCCTGTCCGTGTTGGCCTAGAAAACCGAGTACAATATAAAATGCCAAAAATGTGAGAGAGCACGTAAAACGTAAAGTGTTTGTTATACCCTGTAGCCATAAAGTGGTTGAAGGGGATATCGGTTTATAGCCCCAAAGCTATTTATTTATGATTTTCATAGAACACATAGACAGAAAAAAAATGCTGCCACTCGCTGAACTAGTAAGAGGATTATGAACTTTAAAAGCAGCGCAGGGCGTTGCTCTTCAAAGCGCAACAATTTCGACGAATGTGAGATGTGGAGAGAGATAGAAGTGATACGTAGAGCGAGAATAAGAGAGAGTGGGAGATAGGAGAGGAGGGAGACTTTTGGTAAATAAACAAATAAAAATAAAAATAATATTATAATTTACTCGAAACAATTCCTACACTAAAATTCAAATGATGAGTTGCATGTTTATAATATCCATTAAGACAGTTAAGTAGTATTAGCTAGTCAAAGTCTCCCTATTGTCGCAGCTTTCGCGCGTTGTTTTGAAATTTGTGCCGCAGGGCTGTCCCATTATTGGAAATAAAACAATTGACAGCAATGAGACTGCGCCTGGCACGACCTAGCTAGGACCCAATATGCTCTTGGCCGCGACCATAAGCGCTGCGGCATTGGCGCTACCAAAGTCGCCAGCTCCCCAGTTAACCAGTTATCGGGCCATCCAGCCATCCAGCTATCCAGCTGTCCATGTTATTCACTAGGTTGGCCTAGTAACTGCCCGGTTTCGCAGTTATCCTTCGATTAGTTAAGCTGCGCAAAATAATGATGACAGCTGACGAGGCTTACCGCAGCGCCGGCTACAGTCGAGCCAAATGTACTAGGTGCTAGGTGCTCTGTGCGGCTACCCGTGGGAGCGACAGTCAGTTGAGGGGATTAATTGAGTGATGAGTGGATGCTGTCGTCTGTATAATGGATACTGCTATCTCATAACACTTCAATTTGAGCGCAGCACGTCCGTTGTCGCTTAATGGCCAATCCAAGCCTCGCAACACGGCTATCGAATATCGCATGTCGCACTTCGCATTCCGCATTTCGCATCTCGCATGTCGATTGTTGAATGTTTATTCAACTGTTAAGAGCGATTTTTTCTTTATTTTTCTGCCGAACGTACCGTATCTATGCTGTCCTGCCGCCGGTCCATTAGCTGAAAAAGTACTTGGGAATTTACAGTTATGCTCTTAGCCATAGTAACTAAGCCTTTAGCCGTCGCCCCCATCGTCGTGCTCTGTTCTTGGTTATGTTGATTCGCAGCAATCAGCTTATGTCATGCACATTTACTGTGCGCGTATTATAGCTATTAGCTTGAATATCGTGTAATGCCGCAATAATGGGCACTGAATTTCCATAGCCGGCAATTCCAGGCAAATATTGTTATCACACAGATACATTGGCAACTTACACGAATAATTCCAAATATATACATATATGTTTTTTTCTTTTTGATATATTTTTATTATATATTATACCGATATTTTTATCGTACAGACACGCACTTTTTGATTTTAATAAATACTTGTATACATCTAAAAGATAGTTGGGAATACGTATGTACCCTAGAAATTCCGATTTTTATATTTTTGTATTTTTCAGATATATAATTTTGGGATAAATCTTTGTTTATTTATTTACTTGCATTTTTTGTTTAAATTATTATTTGTTTTATTTATTTATTTATATATATATATTTATTTTTTTTTTTTTATGTGGCTTTCACATTTAAATACAAATATAGTAGATATGAACTCTTTCAAATATTTTATTTACAATATTTTTTTTTTATTTCTTTTTATTTCATTTTATTTTATTTATTTTTTTTTTTTTTTATAAGGAAAACTTTGGGTTTTGGGTATAATTTCTAAATTAAAAAAAAAAATTATATATATAAATAGACACATATAAAATTAAATACTAAAATATAGAACTCTTTCAAAATTGGAACTTTAAAAAATTCTTCCTACGAAAAAAAAATAAATAAAAATAAATAAATGCCAACCCAGAATGATGAATAATGAATTTGATGGGCAATCTTAATTGAAGTGCTCAAAATTTTTTATTATAAACCGAAAAGTAGAGCAATTACATTGTAAAAAATAGAAACATTTTTAAATAGTACAGCTTGGCTTGGGATATTTTTTGTTTAAAGCTTCCAGACTGGCTCAGCAGTATCACCGCTCTCTTTTTGTTTGATTCTCTTGACGTCCGATACACGCAAGCGGACAGGAATCTTTGGTTGTCGCAATGATTTAATTTTCGGCTCTGGATCTGGTTCGCTATCGTCAAGCAGAGCTGTTCTGCGGCTCTGTACGAGCTGCTCTATGATCGAACTGTCGGAGGCTAGAGACTTGAGGTTCAAGTATTCATCCGTGTAGACCAATTCGTATTTGAATAGCATCTCGAACTGCTGCATTAGCTCCAATTCTTGCAAAGTTATGCATGTACTGCCCAAATGCTTATACGTATCCCGCTCGAAGCAGTGTAGTTTGCGGTGAAAGTTTTGCTTTGACGAAGGTGCCAACAAAAATATCATACGATTAAAATCCTGTCGTCCAGTTAGCTGAAATAGCAGAGGTTCCAGCAATATTTGCGCCTTGTCCTCCACGTCCGGATTACCATAACGCGGCATTATTGATCGTCTTATTAGTCCGTGCATATCATTGTATACGCTGACCCAGCGACCCATTGCAATAAGTTTATTGCCTTGCGAATTAACTGGTTTGTTCGTAAATGGCCGAGGAGAATTCTCGCTGTTGCTCGTTTTATCCATTCTGTTGTCTTTAGTCAGGAATAGTAAAAAAAAAAATCTTTTGTAATTGTCTGAAGCAAAAAAAAATGTAGTCAGATAAAATACTTTACTAAATTTTAAAAATGTGTCTGAAATTCATGTGAATGCGTTTCGTGCTAATTTCCAAATGATTCCTACAGTCCTGTTTCCATAGGCCATAGCTCGGTTTCTGTTCAAGGCCTACTTGGTTTTCTAAAATAAGGCCAATCACAAAATGTTTGTTCAGACAACAATAATTATTTGTCTTTCGCGCATATTTTGCGTCGCACTTGAGTTTGACATTTGCGTAATTGCATTTCACTGACAGCCGCACAAAGCGTCTCTGCGGCGAGTGTTTGATATACCATTGTGCTCATTTAATATTAATTAACTGAATTAGGGTCTTGAATGAAGTTATGTGGATTTTGAATGCGTATCTATGTATTTACCCTGTAACTAAAGAGGGCCACAGAGAAGGAAGTCTGTGGATTTTACTTGTGATTTTCATTGAATTTATCATCGAATTTTTAGTTCGTTATATTCAGTTATTTTTAATGTAAAAGTAGAAGATATTTTCCCTAAAATTTGTAATTCCCCATTTAGTTATTACTGAATTGAATAAAAATTTGACCAAAATTATAGAGAATTTCCTTTTCAAGAGTATCTCAAAGTCAACTCTTTGCTTTAGTCACTGAACCTATTTAATAGAGAACAGTTCAAGATCTGTTTGGGACATTCGCTTTGAAATTGATTGACAGTTCGTTGCACAAAGCGCAAAACCGTTTGAATATCTTAATGTGCGTTATATTAAATTATAAATAAATTGTACGCTTATTTGTATGAAATGGGTTGAGCTCAATTAGTCACTTAAGCCTGCTCAATGTAGATAAATGTTGTAAACGTTGTTTACGGCTCAAGGGGGAACCAAAGCAAATTATTTGGATTACAGCTCAAAGGCAATTCGGCGAGAGAGTTGAAAATTTAAAATCAATTTTCACACTGCTGTGCACATGGCTTGAATATCATTGAAATTGTTTAAACGCCGGTTTGCTATAGTGATTCATAATTTATATATCATATGCAACACTTGAGCTAAGCTAAGCTGTTGCTTAAAACACCTGCAAAGTAGCTCGATAAAAACTCGGCGACAGCTAACAAATTAAACAGCTTTCAGCTTTAAACATGCCGCACAGCTGGGGAGCCATTGAGGAGCAGGCAAGCTTCACTTAGTTGACTAAAAAGAACAAGCCGTGACTTATACCGAATGATAACTTAAGCATATGGCAATTTGTCAGGCTGCAAGGCAAGCCCAGCGGTTAGCTTCATTTCATTTTTTTTTTTTTTTTCATTTTTCTTCTGTAAATCGCCAACGTCTGCATTCGGCTTATAAAAGGCTGGCCAGCTGCCAGTTGAATGTTGCAGTGTAAAGCGACAATTCCGTTGGCTGTCAAGAAGTCACACCCGGCCAAGATGCGATGCCCTTTGGCCTCAACAATTGCTGGCTGCCCGAATGCTTGACTGGCTACGTGCCGAGAACCTGTCGCCGCAGGAGTGTCTCTTTTATCGCATGTCCAAGCCAAACAAACGAGACATTGAGCATTGCTTCAGCAGAAAACAAGCAGCAGAAGAGAAGCACTCATTTTTATGCGCGCTTAGAATGTAAAGTGTGTATATTAGTTATGTCTGCATGAGTTTGAGTTGAGAAGTGCAAATCGTGGAATATTTATATTGAGATTTTACGAGAGATATGGATAATTCATAAGGAGTATGAAGAGCCTGAAATCAGTTAGAATTTTGTTGAGTAGCCTCTGTTAAAATAAATAAAAGCTAATACTCTTTCTCTATGGGGCTTTAGTTGTATGAGACATGAATTAAAAAATCAGCTAAGAGTTGCTTGGGCTTATGCTCATGAGTTTTATTTTTTTTTTTAAGTATACAAAAAAGGTTTTACAAGTTGAATGAAAAAATACATAAAAATCTACTATAAGACTAAAACCATTTAACATTTTATAGTTTCATAAGCAAAGTCTTTATAATAGCCCAAGTCAAAACTGTAACTCAACAAATTGAAAAACTTGCACAAGAATTTTTCCAACTCTCTTCTGAGCCACTCAAACTCGTAGTAGTTATAGCAAAACAAATGTCTTATCGCCCATTTATTGCCTGCCCATTTGCACTGACTAAGGCCAGCTCTGCCCTCTGCTAGATCTAGATGCCTATTTAAGCTGAAAAGCAGCTTGAGCGGCAGTTGCATTCGCAGTTACCGTTGCCGTTGCACAGGTGGGCCAGCGCTTGCCATGAACCGTTCGACGGCCGACTTTTTGTCCTACATTGAGAATCTTATTGCAGAGGAGTGCCTGGCCAGAGGACAGTGCACGGCCAGATCGAGTGGCATCCGTGGCATACGCATTTGGTTCTCAGATCTCAATGGAATGATGCCGAGAACAGCTCATGGCAAAGCTAAGCTGGAAGATGATTGCAGCGAGAAGTTCACATTCTTCAACTGTTGCT